CAGATTCCACAGGACAGAGAGAGGCCACAGATTCCACAGGACAGAGAGAGGCCACAGATTCCACAGGACAGAGAAAGGTCACAGGATTCCACAGGACAGAGAGAGGCCACAGATTCCACAGGACAGAGAGAGGCCACACCCACCACAAGTCCAAGTCAACGACAATTCTCTACTGGACACACTGTTGTTGCATCCTCACCTGGTACTGGTATGCTACATTTTCTCCTTCTCAATCCTAGTCCTGGAGAGAGCCACCAAACAAATCCTCCAACCTTTCTGTTTGTCACGAAGAGACTGGGACTTTCAAGACCTTCCATCCAATCATTCCCCCTTATAACAGCCGTCATCTGTTCCCCCTTACAACAGCAGTCATCTGTTCCCCCTTACAACAGCAGTCATCTGTTCCCCAATCATTCCCCCCTTACAACAGCAGTCATCTGTTCTGGTGAGCGTGAGAGAAGCGTCTACATCAAAGATTTCACAGGGGCTGATCCCACGAGGCCATCCGGCAACCCGTATGTTTGGAAAAGACTCGAACTGATAACTCCTGACATCTAGAACCTGTCTGCTCATTGATCTCCTGACATCTAGAACCTGTCTGCTCATTGATCTCCTGACATCTAGAACCTGTCTGCTCATTGATCTCCTGACATCTAGAACCTGTCTGCTCATTGATCTCCTACATAGCACAGTTGTCCATACATCAAAGAGTGGAACGTTGACAACACATAGCTCCGACAAACGTGTTCCCTCTATGTGAAAGTCAGGTCGGCCTGTGGAGATGTGACCTCCAGTGGGTTCCCCGTCAACGACACAGAGGACAGGTGGCACCGTGACACAGAGGACAGGTGACACCGTGACACAGAGGACAGGTGACACCATGACACAACAAGGCACAATAACAATAGAGGGATCAGAGAATGAGCTCACAACAACCGCTCAGATGGCACAAAGGACAAATGTGGAAACTGACGTGTCCTCCCAGCCAATAACAGCAAACAGCTGAAAGCAACGAGGAATCTGGTGCATGTTCAAAATGGTAACAACATCATGCAGAAAAACAATCTGCCAACTGCCCACCAGCAAAGCATGCTCAAAAGAATTCAGTTTCACCTATATGTATACACTAAAACCATCTTATGAAATACTACTAGCACCCTTTCAAAACCAACTTTGGATGGTTTTTAATAACAAATGCATGCAACCAATACTTTTAGAAATAAAAAATATATAGCAACATTCAACAAGAAAAAAATAAAAACATCTGAAAGCTGATGTGAATACAAAAACACCAAATCCTACAAAAAGATAAATCAATTTTGATCTAAATTGGGCCAAAAAAATCTGAAGCACTAAATCTTAGAGCAAATGAAAAGAAGACATACCTAGAACCAGCAATAACAGCACAAGGTAAGAAACATCTCAAGTCAAGAGAGCTTGTTCCCAGTTTATTGCAGTGTAACACAGCGGCAGTGACACACATTTCTACACCATGATGGCTGTGGAGAATGCTAAGCGACGACCAAGTTTTTGTACAGAAAGACGTGTGGCTAACAACAACAAGGTTGGAGGTAGTTGGGGCTCTGTTGGGCTATGCTAGGGGCTGTTGGCCTCGCGCGGGCTCACACTGCTCGACGCCAACTTGTACCGCCGGCGCCTGGAACACAGGAAACACCACACCTTCAAATAGCACATCGTCTCAGCACGGACAAGCATACATTGCTGGGGGTGGTTAGTACGCCTAGACAAACATTCACCCCCCCTCCCGTCCTGCTATACAGTTACTAGGCTTGTTCATACTGGCCACCCCCCCCTCCCGTCCTGCTATACAGTTACTAGGCTTGTTCATACTGGCCACACCTTCAAATGACACAAAAGAAACTCATAAAACATTCAGGTAACAACTACTACACTGAAAATAAACTCCCTCAGCTGTGAACGAAATGGCGACATTCCATGTTCGCCCTCAGTCAATTCTTTGCTCCCCTCTCCCAAACAAGCCAATCACAGAGTGTTTCTGACGAGGCCACTGGAGGCTAGACCAGGCTCTGCTAGACCAGGCTGTGCTAGACCAGGCTGTGCTAGACCAGCCTGTGCTAGACCAGGCTGTGCTAGACCAGCCTGTGCTAGACCAGGCTGTGCTAGACCAGGCTCAGCCAGCCGTCTTTTCCCTACACAGAGGCTGAGACAGTTTTATTTCAGTCTATTCCCAACACAAAATCTGTGACACAGTTTTATTTCAGTCTATTCCCAACACAAAATCTGTGACACAGTTTTATTTCAGTCTATTCCCAACACAAAATCTGTGACAGTTTTATTTCAGTCTATTCTCAACACAAAATCTGTGACAGTTTTATTTCTGTCTATTCCCAACACAAAATCTGTGACAGTTTTATTTCTGTCTATTCCCGACAACTTTTGACTAAATAAAACAAACAGGCTATCACTATCAGCTAACCATAGGTCTCCAATCTTTCCACAGTTTTACTTGATAAGAAACAAACAATCCACTGGTTTTTTTAAACACACGGTGGGTGCGTTTGTGTGCCTATCAAATATGAATAAAGAAATAGATACTACAGACGCTGCTGCCAGTCTGCCAATGGCCATTTCAAAACCTTTCAGAAAGGTGACATTTACAAAGAAATGATGCATGGTTTTTACGGAGACATCATGGAATAAGGTATTGAACTTTGGACATTACAAAAAGCCAACTAAATTATATTCTTTAAAATTACATATATATTTTTTCCCTCTACTGTGGACCTGGCAAAAGCTCTCGTGGGACATTTTGGAGACCTACAAGTCGCTGTCACCAAAAGCAACACGGCATGGCATCAGTGAACACATCACACACTTGGGGGAAACGCAAGAACAAAAAACAGGGTGACTTTCCCCATAGGTTGTGCACATGTGCCAGTGTGTATATGAAGTTGTGTGTGTGTGTGTGTGTGTGTGTGTGTGTGTGTGTGTGTGTGTGTGTGTGTGTGTGTGTGCGTGCGTGCATGCATGCATGCGTGCGCATGCAATTGTAATCTTGTTTAGACTTGGCAGTATGCCCCCAGAGAGAAAGTTAAAAACCCCCAAAGCAACAAGGAACACAGACTAAGTTCTACAATGAGCTGAAACTCTGACTGACTGAATGCTACTCTTCAATCCCAGTGCCACACAACTCTTATCTCTGTTCACTGAAACATGCTGAAGTAGACATTGGCTAGTCATGAGCAGAGGTAGTAGACATGAGGTACACATGAGGTAGACATTGGCTAGTCATGAACAGAGGTAGACATTGGCTAGACATGAGCAGAGGTAGACATTGGCTAGATATGAGCAGAGGTAGACATTGGCTAGACATGAGCAGAGGTAGACATTGGCTAGACATGAGCAGAGGTAGACATTGGCTAG